TTTTTACAAAAAAAAAAAAAAAAAAAAATAAAGTAAGATAACTAAATTTGCAATGCTCGTTAAACTAAAACGATACTAGAATGAAAGAAAAATCTTGAAAATTCTTAAAAATTCTTTCCATCGAAGATTCTACTTTTCGACATATATATATTTTTTTAAAAATATCCAACAATCAAAATTTCATCAGAATCGGTCTAAAATCCCGTTACATAGCCCCATCAACTATCCATCATCCTGATCATCGTCGAAGAACAATCGGCACGTCGATCAACGACTAATCGCGAATCGTTCCATTTCACCAATGGTCGAAGCATAAATCACCGGCCACTTTCGCGTCGATTACTCAACTTAACAGGCGGCGGTGTGCGATTCGCGGTGGAGGAACACGGGTGGAGGGCGTCTATGCAGTCCCTATTATATGCTAATCGACGTCGGCATCTCCGTGTAATGTAAAACGAGTGCACGAGCACGAGGTGGAATCGAACCTCGTGTTTCAAGTGCAACCGCCCTCGCCTTTAGAGCTCGCGTGTTGGAATTCACGTGTTTCAACGCTGATCTGTAAGTCGCATTCCCATTGTCGTGCACGTATATAAATAGAGATGCTTCATTTCGTTGATCGAGATTTTATTCCATCGTTTTCTTTTACAGTAATTTATTCAAATTAATAGTATCAATGAGGATTATGTTTTATGATTTTATATGGAAGAGGATGGGATGTGGTTAATTTGTGAAATTTTAATTTTTTGATTTGATCAAATAAATTATTTTAAGATGTACAATTATTATTTATATGCTCTTGTATTTAATATGGGTCTCAAAGTTATTATGTTATTTTTACAATTTCCAATTAATATCCCAAAATTCAACGGATTTATCATTCTTTTATTTTTTAGAAGTTTAGAAAAAAAAAAAAAGAGTCGTAAAAAGTGAAATATTTCAAAAGTTCTATATTTCAAGTAAAATATAAATTGTAAACATGTTTTGAAGCTGTAACAAAAAAGAGCATTCTTGATAAAAATATAAATTTCAGACAAAGATGCGAATATATTGCGACAATTCGACGTATCGTTGTAAATATTAATTGTTTTGTTAACAAGTTTTTTTGTTGACTTTTCACAGATATAGACGAATGTGCCGAAAGTACAGCCGGTTGCGCTCAAATTTGTCACAACGATCCTGGTTCCTTCCATTGTGAATGCCATTCTGGTTATCAATTGGGAAACGATAGTAAATCGTGTCTGGGTGAGTTGTGAAATTAATTTTGTTCTCAACGATAACTGCTTTAATATAAATTTCTTGTAATTAATATAACTAATGAAACTATATATTATAACCCATATTGAGCTAGCTTTTATAGAAGAAAATTTTAATCTTGAAAAATATATCTAGAACATGTACATCTTAAAATATTCATATTTCATAGTTTAAAACCTATTATAAATTGGCCAATTGAATCAAAGTGCAATGTTTAATTGCTGTTTCAATTTTTACTAAATGAACAGTTATTTCATTTAGAAAATTGTTAATTATTTTTTCTATAGATTATAAAGATATAAAGGTATATACATCTTATAAAAGAATATATTGAATTTAATCAATAATAAAATAATTTCTTTTTCATATGACTAATTTTTGTTGATTATATGTTATTTTAATTTTTATACACGTGTCATAAGAAAATAAACAATTTCGAGTGGTTTTTATTAATTTAAATTTCTTTAAATTATCATTTTATAATCACCCCTTTGAAGATATTCTATTTGAAAAGCAGAAACCTCTCACGTAACCAGTTTACGATTGATCGATAATGCATTTTCGGTTTGTAGACGCAATCATTCGTGATTTTTATTCCGTTCTCTGAACACGATCGAAAAATTTCTGCGAAAGATTTCTACCCCAAGACGCGAAAGTAAATCAGTCAGCATTTACGACCAGATTAAATCAGTTGAATTCCTTTCTCTTTTTCGTTTTATTTTATTTCCCCTTTCGAGGCGAATTGAAAGTTGGAATCAAACGTCGGAAAAATCGTATGTTACACTACTCGCGATTCATTCGAGATGTTTGTACGATTCTTTGAAATATCATTTCGAAACTGATGATAAGACGGAATAGAAATAGATTCTGAGATTGTTGGTTTATAAGCAAAAGGAGAATTGAGCGTGTAAAATAGCGTATGCATTCAGTAGTATAATTTGAAATCGATGAAACATGGGCAATAAAATAAATTCTACTAAGTAAGAAAAAATAATTTCTTTGAGGGAATATTATTTTAATGGAAAATTGATTCGATTCGTGTTATTTGCGTTATAAACGTGGATAAATAACAATCGTTAAATAGTGCAATTTAAATGGAACAATGATTGTTTAATTAAAGTGGAATTATAATTATGGCGTCTAAAAAGATAGAGCTCGTAGAATAAATGAAACGAGAATTCTAATTAGACGATGCTTACTTAAATTAATATTTTAATTAAAACATCATCATATTTGGAACCAAGTTATATCATTCCCCTCCAAATAAGATGAAAATAAGATATATTAATAATTAAACGATCTTTCATTTACTGTTTGTGTTTATAATTTTAAAAATATACAAATATTAAGAATTACAATCAACGAAATTTATAGACTACCAAAAATTAATCAAACGCATCATCGTCGAAAAAAAAAAAAATTGAAAAAAGTCGAAATTAAAAATTCAAAATTCAGGGATAAAAGGAGGGAATATCCGTTTCAATTTATCCGTCTATTAACCGAATGCAGCGTTTAACGAGGGAAACTCTGGCAAGATTCGCGCAAAGAATTTAACACGGCGAATGCCCTCAACCCCTCGGTTGACGGATTAATTCAATCTCGAGGCCTTCCACCCCGCCTTCCATACCCGCGAAATTTGTCTTTTCGCTGGAAATTGGCTAACTAAGGCGAAGGAAGCGAGGCGTTCGTGTTGCTTTTCGCGGTTCGCCCACCGACCGAACCAAGAATTACAAACAACCCCTCGTTTATCGAATTACGCGTTGCGGTTCGTTCATTTGGACGCCGTTTTACCCCGTGTGTCCCGCGTTAACTCAAACTGATTAACCCTCGAGCCGTGAATAAAGGAGAAAAAGAGAGAGAGAGAGAGAGAGAGAGGAGAAAATATTCAAACTGGTCGAGTGTTGTACATTGGGAAAATTTAAATCCGATACGAGCTATTTCCTCGAAAAAGCTTTCGAAAGCAAAATTTTGAGACGGATAATGCTGCGCGATTCAACTTCCCCGACGGTGGATTAAATCAACGAGATTGAACAAATTTTCAGGCAAGTTTTAACGATCCTTAAACTGGTTATCGTGTTTTCAGTAATTACAAGTTTGAGTTTGGATATTTTTTTGAAGATTTTTTTTTTTTTTTTTAATTATAAGCAACACGATTGGATGGATTCGCGGAAGAAGTTTTAATCTACGTTTGATTCATGGAGAATTTTCATTTAATCGTTTCTTATTTACAAAAAAAAAAAAAAAAAATTCTCAATTTTATTCGTATTTATTTGTAATTACGATAAATAGAATTGGAATAATTTTTGGAACGAATTTTAATCCGATTCATTTGGAAACTGATTATCGTAGTAATTAGTAAAAATTATATATTTAAACGGAATATTAATATTGACACGATTGAATTAATATTTTAATTAATATTCTTTGTGATTAAATTCACTGATATTCTGATTCTAAGTGGAATAATTAAGCAATTAGAGTATATTCTTCTTTCTATTAGTTGTTCCAATACGATAAAATTAGAATAGAGTGTGAATTTCGGTGTTGAAGCACGAAATTACCAGAATGTAGCATATTGCGCAAAATCAGATGGGCGTTTATTGACTTTACGAGATAGTTCGATTGGAATCGAATCGAATCGATGCTTGGATAATTGAAAGGACTATTAACACGTGCCCAAACAATCAAGAATCTATTATAGCTGTGTATTATTATCGCGATTCCTTCTCTTTTTTCTCCTTTCTTTCTTTCTTTCTTCAAAAGTTTACATTTGAAATTAACTATACACAACATCAAACAATCTCGTTTATCAGGATCTGTTTACATTTCATATTATATATATATAATTGCAGAACTAATATTAATTATGTAAATTAAATATTTAAATAGATCCCTCTTCATTTTGCTCATGAATTTTTTCATTGTATATTCTTGTATATACCTTTTGATCAATTCTTCTTCATCTTTCTTTACTTTTCAACACTTATTCTCTCAAGCATATAAATTTTTAATCAAACTTTTCATTTCATCGTGTCGCAAAAGAAAATTATTTTCTAATTTTCTAAATTATACTTTTCATCAACAATCTCTTTTTCTTAGCCAACATACAAATTTCTTCCAACTATTCACTTTTCATAAAGAAGCTTCTTCCTTAATTAATATTAATATATTCCTTCGATCAATTAATATTTCTATAATTTGTCGATATTAAACTTAACAAATAATCATATACGACGGCATTGACTGAAAACCTGTTAACCAAAAAAAGTCATTTCCTCGAAACGAATATTTCGTTCGTTCCAATCGCAAAGTGTGAAACGAGAGTAATGAATCGATGTCTCGATGTTGCGTCGACGATACAATCGGCCCTCGATACCGTCTCAAGAGGAGGAACGACGCTAGACTGTCGCCCGTTCCCTCCGTTAAATTTTCGAAAGCAATTCACAAGATTGCTTGGTTGTTCTCGTTCAGACGTTAACGAGTGCCTGGTGAATAACGGGCACGGGCCGTGCCAAGGCGCTTGCATCAATCTCGAAGGGAGCTACGAGTGCAACTGTTCCGATATTCCCGGCCACAAATTGGCCGCGGATAATCACACCTGCGAGGATATCGACGAGTGCTCGACCAACAACGGGGGATGCTCCCATGTTTGTTTGAACACGCCTGGAAGCGCTTTTTGCCTCTGCCCGGACGGCTTTTATCTGACCAACGACTGGAAAACTTGCCAAGGTAACCTAAACAACTCTCTAGTTTATTCCAAGGTATTCCAGATTGTTGTGAGATCGTTATAACGTATAATAGTATATATAATAGTTTGCGTAACAATTCTCGTTTTTATCTCTAGAATGGGGATCTTCTGAATCCTACGATATCAATCTGTAACATAATGTATAATTTATTAATTAAATTTATTAAAAATAGTTAAAAAAAAGAGTCGTAGATAAAGTCTCGACGAAATTAAATTTAATTTTTACCGTTCTTATATGTATTCTGATTCTGAATATTCAATGTATATTATTGATCCATAATTAGAGGGTGTAAATTTATTTTAATACAGATGTGAATGAATGCGAGAACGCATCCAAGGTTTGCACGAATAATACCGATTGCGAGAACACTGTCGGCTCGTTTAAATGCGTGAGCAAGCCCCAAAAGATGACCAAAGTTCTCCAGGACGAAGATTACGACGCGGAGGACGACGAGGACGATGACGATTACGACGAGGAAGAGGGCATCACGGAAATTCCAGATTTTGGCAAATGCGAGGATGGCTTCAGAAAGAACAAAAACGGCGAATGCATTGGTTCGTAAAAACAACGTTTTCTGCAACGAAACAAATACGTAATTTTTTTTATAGAATTTACTTAAAAAAAATTCGCGATATCAAAAATAATTAAGAAGAAACGAGTCTATTCTTAACTTTATATTATATTTAAACTGAAGAAATGAAAAGATAAAAAAATCTCTGTAACTTTCGTATATTAATTTCAAACTTAGAAAAAGTATTGTAAGTCGATGCACGATAACAAACGCTTCGCTTTTCCAATACATTTCCAACAGATATCGACGAATGCTCGGACGAGGGAGAG